ATGTCAAGGTCATTCATTTCAACAAACGTGATTGCCCTTCAACCCAGCAGGCTACTGGTCCAATATCATGACCCTGGACCACTTGGTTATTGAGAAGAAGTTCTTTAAAGATTTTAACACATTTGACCCCTGTGACCTTGAATGGAGTTCTAGGTTATTCATGTGAATAACCTTGGTGGCCCTTCATCCTCTCATGCTACTGGCCCTAGGTCATTTTGTTACTGAGAAGAAGTCGTGTAAAGATTTTTAATACATTTGAACCCTATGACCTTGAATGAAGGCCAAGGTCATTCATTTGTAGAAATATGATATCCCCTCATCCCAACATGCCACTGGCCCAATATCATGACCTTGGACTACTTTTTTATTGTGAAGAAATCGAAAATGTAAATCATGTACAACATACTATGCACAAGCCCAGACAAAAAATTATTGCAATAGGTCACTTGAGACTTTTTATTTGTACATGTAATAGACTATAAAATAGAAATGACATGATAATAATACATTTGTGTGTACATGTCATTTTAAATAGTGACAGTATTAACTTTACAGCATGACAATTACACACATTCAAAGGAAGTTATATACATTCACAACAACAGAAATTACATAGTTATATCAGTGATTATGAAACCAAAATTACATTATATCAGCTAAAGGAACAAAAAACATTATTAGAGATGTACATTAATAAAATCAATTTCCATTTCAGTTGTCATACACACTGTTAAATTTTTAACAGAATTTTGTTCTCCAAAGAAGTGTTAAGACTTCATAGTATTTCCTACTTCAAAAATTTCAGCCTAATTATGGAATACAGCAGATATTCAATTACAAAATGATCTTCGCTATTGATTAGAGTAGACATCATGATAGCATATTATAGTCATCTACATCATGCCTGTATGTCACCTTCCTGTCCCTATTATATTCATGAAGATACTCAAAGAGACGCAAGATTTTGAAAACTTTTATGTCTTTTTATAATGAGATAACTTTCTGAAATTGGACTTTTTGTTGACAAGAAATTCTCAACAACAACATTCAAAATACATTTCTACTTAGGATCCATTTAAACAGTCATTAAATGTTGGTATTTTTTACTGGTTCTTTTCAAATCTTGATGCAATAAAATCGCTAAAATTAAAAAATTTAAAAAAAATTAATCAATAAAGGGATTTATCACTCATTTTATGACCTTAAAAGAATGCATTCTTTTTGCTCAAATCCTTGCAGTATTTATCTACCTTGGACAGAAATGTTGAGAAATCATTGATTTAGAATGGTCACATTCCCTTAATTATATAATGACATACAGGTAATATAAGCAAAATTGCATTTAATCAAAAAACAACTGCATCGTGTGATAGGTAATTAGCAGCAAATCAATGCAGAACTTGTTTACTGCAGCTAATTTTGTCTGTAAAACAATCCTTGGAATTTTTTCACATTTGAGGTCCTGCAAGGTACCATTCATACAAGATTATCCTGGAGGGTTTAAATAATTATTTTCGAAATGAATAATACCACAACAAAAGGGTGAACAGATTTGTAAAGGAAGACATATTTCAATTATAAAATACTTACATGTATACATTTATACATACATATAAAAACATTTTCAAAAATGAAATAAATCAACATTTTTCAAGAAAAGAAATTCTTAGTGTTTACCACAATACTTTGTATCTAAACATTAAGAAAAAAATTCACTAAAAACAATATAATTCTGACATAGACAAGCACAGAAAAATATTTCATAACTTATATCAACATGACAGGTTAACTCTGCTATAGAAAAATAATACTACACAACTACCAAAATACCTTACAAAATAAAATTATCTTTTTTGACATTCCTGAAGTCTGTGTCTAGAAATCCAATCCGATAGAACACAAACAAAATTGAAATAGATTAAAAACAAGAGGCCAAAGGGGCCTTAACGGTCACCTGAGGAATATATGTCAATAATTTGAGGATTTTAAAATGTTGCAAAAATGTAACAACACTTGTGCAGGACCATGTGTAAAACATCTGTACCAAGTTTGAACATGACCCACCCAATGGTTCTTGAGAGGAAGTCCATAATGTCTTAGCCAAACAGAGGCCAGGGTGCCCATCTTAGATTTTGAATCTCCCCAAAAAGTTAAAACACTTGCCAGGACCTTGTGTTGAACATTTGTATCAAGTTTCCCCTTTTTCCCCCTCCTGGGGCCCCTATTGGGGCCACGCCCTTTTTCTTCGCAAACTTCAAGCGGCTTCCCATGTGGATGCTTTGTGCCAAATTTTGGTCAAAAGCCATCTACTGGTTCTTGAGAAGTAGTCATTTAATGAAGGTTTTTACATATGGCCCCTTTTACACCCCTTATGGGCCCCAAATGGGACATTATCACTTTTTTTCAACATAATTTCATATGTCCTTCACTAAGGGATGCTTTCTACCAAATTTGGTTGAAATTGGTCAAAATTGAATTTTTGACCCGTTTGAGTGGGGCCGTTTTTGACCCGATTTTTTTTTCATTCCCAAACTTTGTAGACCTTGCCATAAGGACTCTAAATATCAAATATGAATTTAATCTGACTGTTGGTTCATGAGAAGGAGATTTTAAAGATTTACCTAATTTTACTCCCTTTTCCCCCCCTTTTTTAACCCTTTTTCTTTGCAAACTTGAAGCAGCTTCCCATGAGGATGCTTTGTGCCAAGTTTGGTCAAAATCCATTCAGTGGTTCTTGAGAAGAAGTTGAATATGTGAAAAGTTAACGACGCACGACGCACGTCGACAGACAAATCATGATGGCAATAGGTCACCATGAGCCTTCGGCTCAGGTGACTTAAAAAGAGAACAGAAAGGAAGCTTACGTCCCAACATATGAATGGATCAGAGATAATCAGGCACAAGATATTTTGACAGGGTTATTTATATACCTTATCTGGAAACTCTATGACTTTACCACTGTTTGATACAAACAAGTATTTAGAATTTGTCTTTAAACGCTTGGATATTTAAATTAAATGTACTTGAATGAACACTTACGGTCAATACCTTTGATCTCCCAAACTTTTTGACAATGCACCTTGACTATTTACTATTGGCATCGGGTTATTAATTTATACAATATTGCCTGCAATCTTATATACATTGTTAAACAGTTAGAAATACTGGTGTATGAACTTCAGTGCACTCCACCACTGACAATGACGTCACATAATATCTTGACAGTATCAGCCTCTACAATAATAAGCAACATGTTGCTTGTTTCTACGAAAAAAAAAAACATAAAATTCAGTACCAGTGATAATGCTCCTTACAAATTTGGCATTTAAAGCTAAAATTATTCATTTTATAATGATAAAGAAACATATTAAATCAACTTATATAACCCAGATAAAAGTATGTGTGGGGTCTTACTGTGGGAAGATACTGGTGAGCCTGAAAAATTAAGCATTGACCAATGACCTCTTACCTTGACTTTACTGTTAGACTCTTCGCATTGTAATGTAATGCTTACCTATAAAAACATTGTTATTTGAACTAATATACATGACAGTGATATTTCTTTACATCTGCCTTGGTATATTTACCGAAGGAGCTAACAACGGTGATTATGTATATACAGTTAATGTGACATAAAAAAAGTTTATACTCAATATAAAAAACAGTTGTCATATAGTCATGTTGCGTAGCAGAATATTTAAAAATGGAATAGCTGCATAAAAATAAGCACAATTTAAGAATTGTTGAATCTACCTAATGCCCCCATGCTTATCATTTTTACATAAACAAAAACAAACAAAAATTTTCTTTTCATCAGTTTTTGACCTCCACTTTATCTTAAAAAAAAAAAAACAATATGCTTTCACATACATATATGTTGATTCTGTAACAAGGTCTCATAAAACTTAATTCATAGAACTTTTAACAAGTAGCATTGGGACTCACTTCAGACTAAAGGAAATCAGGATTTCATGTTTTATTATCTAACATAAAAATTACATTTAAATAGTACAGGTCTTTAAATAAAAACTGCATCTACTTAATACTACAGGTCTGGTCACATTAACAAAAAAAAAACATACAAAACATTATATTTCTTAATTAAAATATCACAAGAAAAGAAACCAAAAAAGAGTCTGGATGACACATAGGCAATCTCATCATGGCAATAGAATGATATACTAAGAAAGACAGACTAGAGGTAAAAGAGATATGGTAATTATATATACATCATGAATACTTGAAGATTCATTTACAGTGTAAATATCCAATCACAAAAATTACATAAATTGACTTATGGAAAACACAAAAGACAGAAAGGAAGATAAATTAAAAAGATCACATCTATTGCTAAATTAAACTCATCCTGAGAAAAACTCCATGAATCTGTTGTACCTTTGATCTGTGTTTGGTATGGAAAGCTATATAGAAAATCTACTAATGTGTTTCCTTTCTAAAAGAAAGTTATTAGGGACTTTTGATTATTCATAGCATGAATTTGAAATCCACTCATTTTTTGTTTCAGGAACAATACTGACATAATAATTGCAGAACCACAACATCGCAAAAATTATCATCACTTACTAATTATCTATCTTTAAAAAGCGTATGAAATATTGATAATAATCTCGACTTTAAAGCTATTATATGGATTCAAAATCACAAGTTTATATATAAATGTCAGGTGATGCAATACTGAGCAGCTACAAATAAAAAGATGATTCTATTTTTTTTCAACACTGGAAATTTTCATAACCAATTAAATAAAAACAAATAATTACAAATGAAGATGATATTAACAAAATTCTATACTTCCCGGGAATTAAATCAAACATATCAATGGAAGGGAGATAATCTAGTTTGAGCTTCCAAAAAAAAATAATATAAATATTCTGATTATTTTGGATTTATATAAATGGCAAATAATGGCATAAAAATTCAAAACAGACAAAATAACTGAACAAGAAATATTTCACACAAAATCACAGAATATTCTGGTATTTCAGGAACAGTTGTAAAGCATTATATTGATAATAATTATTGTTGAAATATGGTTCTAACATCAAACTTAAGTATCAACTTATTTTTTTAATACTAAACTGTTGAAAATTTCAAATTAAAAAAACATAATTGTTAAGATAAGTGAACCCTACAAGAATTTATATGGGGGACAAGTTGCCAACAATTCTATGTTCAAATCATGTATGACTTGAATTTGAGAGAAACTGTTGTAAAATTTGTGGATAAGGATAACCGAAAAGTTTATAATCATTCACATAAATTTTCCACAGCAATTTTAAATGAAAAGGTGGAATCTTCCCATAAAAATCTGCCATGGTGTCTTTTGTTTTCTTTCGTTTGTAAGTGGCACCACGAGCAGGAAACTGAATGGCATCGTCTATGTGTAGATCCCTCAGGATCTGGTCAATATCTTGGTCAATGGTTTCATATTTACCAACGTAGTCATACTGGATCAAACACGGATGACACAATCCTGAGTAATGGGCCCAGTGTTCATTGAATCCTTCCTTCATAATCGTGCTTGAATCTGTTATGTACTTGATAAATTCTATGAACTTCACATCATTTCCAAGTTCTACTGAAGATGCAGAGGGATTTTTCCTGTATCTCCTGACTATTCTTCGACCAAATCTCTTATGAAAATATTCACTTTTCTCCATAAATTTGTTTCTGTAAGCTGAGAGCAATCTTTCTAATGGTTCTCGTACAAATATAATTTTTCTATAACTTTTGATTCTATAATTAATTTCAACTTCAGAATTGAAATCGCTAAGATACTTCAAATATTTATTGTGTGTAAAATGCACGTCACTGCTTTCGATATCAAGAGGATTTGTCGTATTCATTTTACCCGTGAGGAGAAGAAATACCCGTTTCATATTGGTACAGGCCACTTTAGGAATGTAACAAAACATGACTTGATAGGTGTCGTCGACCAGGATGTGGCCGAGCTGACTGGCGACAACACTATTGGGAACCACACCCTTTTTCTCAAGCAACTGGCAGCCCTGATGTAGCGTGGCGAGTCTCTCTTTCTGTATTACATCCGCAGGAATGTTGGCTTTCTATCAAAGACAAAACAACAAAACAACATATACAATATCTGACATTACATTGTATCAGACTACAGATTCAATTACATTTTAATAATTTGAAACTTGGTAGTTAATTATAGCGATGAAATATTAGAGCCATTCTAATCAAATATCAAGCTAAACCTAATTTGTCAAACAAGAACCATCAGTGGAAGTGATTCAATTCAAACAGCACAAAACGATAAAAATTTATAGTTGATAGCAACCACAAGCATATCACCATATGCAGAGAATTTCAGTAGTCCTCACATACTAGGAAATATATTCCTTCCATACTAGGAAATATATTTCTCCCGTACTAGTGTGGCAGGATTGACTTTTAATATAATGTGAATTGTATTGTCTCTGTAATTGTTAAATCTTGTTTATTAGTTTACGTCTATACTGTATCTTGTTCATTAGTCTCATGTATACATAAGTGTTAGTCTCATTATTATCTTTATTTTCATATAGTGTTGTGTGGTCATTGGTCAGCTGAATTTGGTCTTATGTCTTAATTTATTGGTTCTTTTGATTTTGCTGGGTTTTTTTTATTATACATATATATATATACTACTACTAGGAAATATATTTCTCCCATACTAGGAAATATCTTTCAACCATACTAGGAAATAACTTTCAACCATACTTCAACCATACTATGAAATATATTTCACCCATACTAGGAAATATATTTCTCCCATACTAGGAAATATATTTCTCCCATACTAGGAAATATATTTCAACCATACTAGGAAATATATTTCTATATTTCTCCCAGACTAGGAAATATATTTCAACCATACTAGGAAATATATTTCTCCCATACTAGGAAATATATTTCTTTCAACCATACTAGGAAATATATTTCTCCCATACTAGGAAATATATTTTTCCCATACTAGGAAATATATTTCTCCCATACTAGGAAATATATTTCAACCATACTAGGAAATATATTTCTCCCATACTAGGAAACGTATTTCTCCCAGACTAGGAAATATATTTCAACCATACTAGGAAATATCTTTCAACCATACTAGGAAATATATTTCTCCCATACTAGGAAATATCTTTCAACCATACTAGGAAATATATTTCTCCCATACTGGGAAATATATTTCTCCCATACTAGGAAATATCTTTCAACCATACTAGGAAATATCTTTCAACCATACCAGGAAATATATTTGAATTGATAAAATGATAATGCTACCATGTTACCATGCAAGAAGTTTTTGTGGTCTGCCCCTAGGAAACATATTTCATTGGAAGAGCCCTATCAACTAATTCTGATGCTAATAAACCATCAACCTGTCAGGTATTGTAATTATGTACTACAGCCTCTCTCTATATTGAAAGCAATGTGCATTTAAACAAGAATGAGACAAAAACTACAAGCAAACCATGAGATGCTTTACCTTAATTCAGTAACTTGATCAATTTTAAGTTTACAAATCCTAGTATGCTGTATACAGTAATACTTCTATATGTGTGTTGCATAAATACAAGAGCAATGTTATAGGCAACATAACATTACACAGAGGAAAATGCAATTCGCAACTTAAGAAACCAAATACAAAATAAAATGTAAATATACATGTACTACCCTTTTACTGCAGGTAAATTCTGTACCCTTTTGAATAAAGCTTATACAGGTTTATATCTTGAAAACCTTAATTGATAAAACACATCTGAAGAACTCAGACTTTAACCGGTAAATCGTATATCTACAAATTAATAATTTACCACAGACTCAAAGATATCTCAATTATACTATACCTGTAAAGTCGCTTTTGTAGACATGTTGTTTTCAAAAACATTGTCACGAAATCTAGGGATAACTTTCTTTCTGGGTCCTGCAATGAAAATTGAAAAAATGACATAAATAGTATGTAAACATAAACAACAAGAAAATACCAATCAGCTCTGGCATGTGGTGCATTTAAATTTTATTGAATACCATGCAATTTTTCTGAAAATGAATAGAACTTGGAAAAATGAATACAGAATTGCTTGTGTGAATGTTGAAACAATTACTCCAATCAAAACAGATATTGTTCAGAGAATGGTAGAATGTTCCTACTTTTACTGCATGTAAGACCAGATTCAGAAAAACTTTGGAAATGGAATTTTTTATAGTAAAACGAACAAGATCACTTGGTAAAAATTCATCGAAAATGGGGGACTTTTGTAAATGCTCTGTGACATGAACAAGTGGGGGGACAGATCATAGAATATTGTTAAGTACAGTCTTTTATATTTATCATGTTTATATTTACTATGTAATTTACCAACTCTAAAGATTTTGTCATGGCTGGACTCCTTCCTTAGTGAGTAAGAAATGTAAGAGGACATATAACATTCAAAGTGATGTATGTGTGTGCGTAGAGTTTGAGAATCTGTATGTGTGCATGACTTGTGAGTGTGTGTAAGATGCAGGTACCAGCTGTACATACGGTTAAATTATAGTATGATTATACAGGCCCAGATTGTATGTTCTTTCCCTTAAAGGAGTACATGCACCTTATTAATATATAACATGTGATCAGTGCATATTTTGGTGTGTGGGTCTGTGGTTGTGTGAACAAGTGTAGGCCAGTGTATATGTGTGTTAATCCATACTTGTGTTAAGAGAAAATAGCATCAGTGAGTGTATGTATTCTATACATTGAGTGTTAGTAGTTGTGTATCTAGTGATGGCTAGGTCTGTATATAGTATTTGTATCTATTGTATTTATCAACAGTGATTATAGATGACAATTATTTATGTAACTACATAGTAAAATATTTGAAGGATGAATGTGTGAAGCGGTGTGCGAGAGCCACCCTGTGTGGCGGCACAATTTGATTATGAAGGCTGACCCAAAGGCCCCAACGGACCTTGGCAGTCTGCCAATATAATCATGAATAAATGTTTTCAGTTAAAAAAAAAAAAAATACCACTATGTGAACATAGTCATAATCCATACAAGTTCCAATTCAATAAACAGAGCAAAATAATAATAAAAGAAAGATATACACTGAGATTTCTTAAAAAGTACAAGGAAAGAAAGACCAGGTGTTCTGGAAGAGTAAGCATCTTCTGCTTCATCGAGGACATCTGTCATGTAAATCTTGGTCAATCCAAATTGCTTCATGGATAACATCTGCCATGTTACTCTTAGTCAATCCAAGTAAGTAATGTCATGTTCTTAAATGAGAACAAGTTACAAACATTGAAACCAACACGTGAACTAACGAGCATCAAACACATCTAGCTTCATACCATACAAAGAAACATAATATTACATTGTTAAACGTAATATTTCTCATTTATCTCTTTATAAGTGGAACTCGTTCAATCAATTTTCACTTTTGCCTCAATTTTTTTTTCTGTCATAATTTAAGCCTTGTGTTTAGTCTGGGATCTATACCCTACCTAAGAACTTAAAACACACCTTCACCTCAGGTGCTCCATTGAGCCAGTCAGTTGGAAAGTGGCTTGGGCACTACAAAAATGTGAATGACACAAAAAGTGGGTAGAGCTAGTAGGTGAATGCACCAAAAATGTTCACAAAATGAAGGTATTTAAAGTATGGGCATGAGGGAAACAGCAAGCTTCTTGCTCCGTTGACCAGGTTTATTTCCCTTGCCTAGGAAACTAGAAACTTTAAGTCCATTATTTAACTATATAATACAACTTTGGGGGTTGGAGTTCTCAATCAGATGTGAAAAGTTATATGAGGTCACTTGCCTTTACTACATGGGTTATCCCTTGATATGGTTTGACTTTTTATCCATTTGTTTTTTCCCTTTCAATTTCATATAACAAAATTTAACAGTTTCCCGTAATATCAATCATCGGACAGAATAAATTTAAATCCTTCACTTGAGTTTCACATTCATAAAAAAGATAGCTATTCTGTTGTACATATGTACTCATGAAATATGCACTCTGTCCAAATCTGCTTTTCATAAAGACTAGGAAGGAGTAATGAAAAACACACTGCCACCACTTGGGTTTTGAACTAACGACCCTTCAGTCTCTAGTCTGACACTCTACCACTCCACTAAAGGGAAATTCACTCTAGTTGAGGCGAGTAAGGTGACCTGTACTCTCAACTTCTACACATATATTGAAAGGATATCTTGAGTTTCCATCACATATGAGATTAATGAGATAAGGATAGTCATTTCAGCCTACCAGAGATATGCTAAAATAATCAAAAACAAACAAAAGGTGGCATGATTTTTATAAACCAACCAAAATTACGATCCATGTCAGTAGACTGCACATAATGACCCATATCATCACATAATCTAAATTAGACAGTCACAAATATCTGTATAACTATTATGTGGAGGAATTCTAAATCATCAGTCAAAAATACAGAAGCACTATATAGAAGTTAATATACCATCAGCATCAATCTCACTATCTCACTAAAATATTGGCATTCTTGTTCATCTTTCACTAAGTAAAGATACAATGTACTTATAATTACCTCCTCTACTTCGGGAACTGTGTCCTGTAGTTTGACTCAAAAACACAAGCGGTACAACAATGCCAACGATTGCTATACACACGAAAATCTTTCTGGATTTCAACATTTTGTTCACTCGTCTGCATTTCATGTATTTCCGCTCCTTGCCGGTCTGGAAAATGGTCAAGATATAAATTGAAAATAGTTGATATCAAACATCGACTGAATAAAGGGAGAAAAATCATTTCAATATAAAACATAAGTAGCATGTTTTATTCACCAGTCCCTGATGTTAATGTAGAAAATCTAAAGAAGTAACATGTAAAGTCTAAGCAATGCATACCACAAGACAGGGCGTCAGGCTTCTGTGAGCATACGGAGTACTCAGCGTAGGGCTGCTGAGCTGATAGAGTGACCGGAAACTGCGAGTAGGACGATAAAATTCAAGTAGGTTAAAGTCGCGTTTACGGATTTTCCCAAATTTGTTGATGAGAGAGAGAGATTGAAAGTTATTCCAATGGAAGTTCTTTACCGAGACGGCACAATGAACACAAATATTGACGATGTATTGAGTGTCTGGGAGAACGGTTTTAGAAAACTTCTCAACCCTGTGTCTGAGGCAACTGGTCAGCTTGATGGGGGTATTAAAAAGTAGCTGTCGACAATGATGCATACAATTCAGTTTTAAACATGGATATTACATGTGACGAAATGATACATGCTGTTAAAGAAGCAAAATTAGCGAAGTCACCGGATTTTGATACTACGTGAGTTGTTTACCATTCGTCCCTGGCGGTTTGGGAGAATTCCTGCGCCTACTACTTCCGTTTTATGAGCTTTGAGAATGGGCATTTCTACTGTTAAACGAATTCCGTTCCATGCTCCGATGTCGCTGTGAATCGCCGCTACCAGTAGACTTTCTGTTGCCACTGAAGCGATCGCCAGGTTCCAAGATTGCGGCACTTTCGACTATCCTGTCGCGCTTAACACTGAACTTACTGTCTCTTCCAAGTTCCTTTAACACTAAACTTACTGTTTTTGCCAAGTTCCTTTAACACTGAACTTACTGTCGTTACCAAGTTCCTTTAACACTAAACTTATTGTCTTTACCAAGTTCCTTTAACACTGAACTTACTGTCATTATCGAGTTCCTTTAACACTGAACTTGCTGTCGTTACCAAGTTCCTTTAACACTGAACCTACTGTCGTTACCAAATTCCTTTAACACTGAACTTACTGTCGTTACCAAGTTCCTTTAACACTGAACTTACTGTCTTTACCAAGTTCCTTTAACACTAAACTTACTGTCGTTATCAAGTTCCTTTAGCACTGAACTTAATGTCGTTACCAAGTTCCTTTAGCACTGAACTTAATGTCTTTACCAAGTTTCTTTAACAAGGTTCTAGCGTCAGCAGCTATCAATAGGTCCTCCTGAGACATTTCACTTTCAATGAACACATTCTAATAAAGATCCGGTCGTCTTAGAGTCGCTTTCGCGTTGAGCACTGTGACTTTTGGGTCGCGTCACCTAGAGTAGCGATAATCAGGCCTTGTGGCCTTTTCCTTCCCTACGCTCCGACTAGATGACCTGTCATTTAGTGAGATTTAAGCCGTCATGCACGAGCGCTCTCACTTTGTTGAGTGTAATATCTCAATCACTCCTCTCATTTGGGTCCTCAGACATATTTTTCACAACAATTCTACAAGGATTTGATGGGGCAGTTGGGGAAATATCAACAAGATTGTCGTTAAAACCCATTCATTCAAATCCAATTCGCAACTTCCCCACATTTTCATGCATTTTTGAAATCACTGATGCTTTGAGGTTGTTAAGTTCCCCTGTAAGTTTCAGGTCAGCATTGCAGCCACTTTCTCAGCGACATTTTCTCTAAAAAAAAACAAAACCAAATTTCTTCGTAAAAATCGTGTGGATGTTGCTCATACTCTCGGTCAAGTTCATTACTAGGGCCTATACTCTACCCACACTGTCTCCGCACACTACGCTGTGGGTAGGGAGTTCCGACGGGGCACTGTGTATATCAAACTCCGCTAATATTTTACAGTTCTTAACTTTAAATGTTTTAATTTTTTGTTATCAGATTCTAATTCAAACAATATCTTCTGACCTATACCTCGTCTTACCCGGAAAATTACATTCACTGCCAGTTAGATCATCTTGAGTTTCGAGGAGTCTCACCATGACAGCACGAAATCTTCGCCCACAACAATATCAGTTTACAACTGACATTTGTAATCATTGGTGTGAATATATACTGACCGATTCACTTGCAGTAAATAACAACAATAATGACGAATCATGAAAGCATTATCAAAGAAGTGTACAATGTATATACTAGGTTGACGTTGATACTTACATGTACAATGTATATACTATGTTGACGTTGATACTTACAAGTACAATGTATATACTATGTTGAAGTTGATACTTACATGTACAATATATATACTATGTTGAAGTTGATACTTACATGTACAATGTATATACTATGTTGAAGTTGATACTTACATGTATAATGTATATACTATGTTGACGTTGATACTTACATGTACAATGTATATACTATGTTGAAATTGATACTTACATGTACAATTACTTTTAACGAGAAGTGTACGATGCAGCCTTGATTGTAATAAAGACAGTCATTCTTGATTTAGTTTTTTCTGAGTTCAGAATGCTTTAAGATACTTTCGGGAATTTTGAAGAGGTCGGACGAGACAATACTAGATATAAGGTCTATTCGATCAGATATTCATTTAAAAAAGGTGTACGGAAGTGATTACGTACAAGTCACGGCTAATTGCTTTGTTATCTGTTTGCTTTGGTTTTTTCTTTCAAATGACGAAGTGATCCTTATGTAATGGCTGTAATGACAATCTTTGTACTGTGCAAGTTTATACAGAACATCTTCTCATTCGAATTTTTTCCATATCTAACTTTAATGAAGATACAGTCCAATGCACACACATTTGTACATATACCTATATAAATATGTAGAGAGATAGTGAGTAACTCAAGTAAGATCTTCTAAATTGACAAATTCATTATATACTATGGCTATTTATATCCTCTCCCATGAACACATAGTAATTATTTTCTCACGGTATTGCATTACCTGCGCACAGCTCATATTTCAGAAGTTTGCTAACGCCATCCCACAAAGACCCATGCACCACTTGGCTCGTCATCATTAAGTTTACCCACTCCACACTAAGGAACGAAAGACATTGGAATGGTTAAATTAAGATCTGTATTTTAATCAATAGATCACATTTTCCTATATTGCAATAGATTTGATCAGGAAAGAAAATATCTCATTGCCGAATTTAAAAGAATAAAAATCCAATAAATATCCATCAACCAGGTTTTAAAATCACGTGAAAATGAAAGACTAGTCCATTGACTGCTCGTCGAATTCCTAAAGAAAAACCGACTACTTGGACAAAATATAAAAGGTAAACAGAACGGTCGAAGGGAGACAACTCCCAAATATCAGTAACCTACACAACGTTATACGCAATAGATAGGATCCCCAGGTTACCCGGGGAGACTGTACCAGAGAGGATTACTACTGCCCTCTCATTCATTGGTACATACTGACATCTCTTGAGGTATACGGTGTCCTTCTCTGTGCCCTGTCCCCAGCATTCACATTTGTGACATAATCTGAAACAGTTCAAACAAATAAAAAAACACACAAGTAAACACGCTCCTTCAAGTATTTGTTAATACAAACGACTAAATAGAAAGAAAAATGCACAAACAAAGTCCACATTCAAGACTCTATGGCCACTTTAGATTTAACACACCAGGAACCTCCGGTTACAATGGTCATGGACTGGTTTACAGTCGTATTCGGGTCTTCAACATTGGCATGTAGCATATGGAACACTGTTAGGCAGGACATTAGTGACAAACAGTTCTCAATAATTAATATACACAACTGTTTACTCAACACTGGCTATAAGGTAAAAAAAACACGAAATCTAAAATATCACACAATTAATTTCAACACACAACTATACATACAATATAACACAATATACAAACCAAATAAACACTATACAAGACCGACCAACAAACTACCTGCCCATCCCCATCCCACACACCATATAAATAGTACTTATACACAAACCGCAGGATGTACATAATAGTATATAGCGTATATTAGACACTTCCCACTTCAACGTAACTTATAGTGCCGAAACATTTCAAATAACCGTTACATTTATCTACCATATAACCGTAACATTTATCTACCATATAACCGTTACATTTATCTACCATATAACCGTTACATTTATCTACCATATAACCGTTACATTTATCTACGATATAACCGTTACATTTATCTACCATATAACCGTTACATTTATCTACCATATAACCGTAACATTTATCTACCATATAACCGTTACATTTATCTACCATATAACCGTTACATTTATCTACCATATAAGCATTACATTTATCTACCATATAACCGTTACATTTATCTACCACGTAACTGTTACATTTATCTACCATATAACCGTAACATTTATCTACCATATAACTGTTACATATATCATACAGTCAAGGAACGAGGCAAATGGTCGTTACAACGTAGCTATAGGTAAGCCAGAAAAAGATGCAATTTTTTTCTTGTTTATAACACTTAGTATAACAGTTTGTATCTCTCCCATGTACTCAAGTTGACTTCGACACACCTGCTTCTTTCTGTGCTAACAAGAAGGTTCCATTTAGACCGATATATCTTGTTTCTTATTCATTGTAAACATATGTTTCCCGAGTGTAATTATTGTCGATATAAAATCAATTGATCACCGACCCAACCGTTGTGATTTCATTACAGATTTGCTGGTCTGGCTGTAGTAACTATAACGACGGAAACACTTCATCATTTATGAATTAGGTAAACAGAAAAAAGAACTCAATCTTATATTTTGAAATTAATCCAGTAAGGGAGATAACCAAAACATGAACCTGTATTTCGAAATAAGTCGGAACCGTATAGTTATGTGATATCTGTCACTGCCTCAAAGATTTCCAAATTAAAATCCTAAACGCCACAGCAAATCTTGCTGCTATTTTTTGTTGTCTTATGATTATGCCTCGCTTCATTCTCTTAAAATTCTGTAGGACATGAAAGCCTTGAGAAGTAGACGAACGAAAAAGCACACACAACAGGTGCTCGAAATGTGGATCATATCACAGACATATCGTCATGGAGTTTAGAATAGGCAAAATGTTTCTCTGATAGTTTTCTACGTATAACAACAAGTATCACTGCAGATCATCCAATGTGTGTAGAATATATTCAGGTAAGTTCCGAGGGAAGATATATCTATAACTACACTCGAACATGGAGCA